AGTAACGATTTTTAGCCAAATTGGTCGATATAAAAAAGCATCCGACATATTGGATCCGCCATTTTGAATATTAAAAAACTAACATCGGATTCGTAATCAGCGACCCCAAAAACCCCCGAGTAACGATTTTTAGTCAATTTGAATCGATTTAAAAAAAAGCATCCGCCATATTGGATCCGCCATTTTAAAAATTGAAAAACTAACATCGGATTCGTAATCAGTGACCCCAAAAACCCTCTAGTAACGATTTTTAGCAAAATTAAATCGATTTTAAAAAAAGCATCCGACATATTGGATCCGCCATTTTGAATTTTGAAAAACCAACATTGGATTCGTAATCAGCGACCCCAAAAACCCTTAAGTATACAATTTCATCAAAATCTATCGACGCGTTTGTCCACATTAACAATTTGTTGTAAACTTAATTATTTCTTAATATAAATTGTTTATAACATTCGAATATTTACATGCACAAATTTTTTACAATTTACAGAGTACTCTAGGTGTGTTTCAAAAAAGTTTTTAGTACGTGCCATTCGATTATAGAGGCTGGAGAAAACTTTTTCTTAAAAATAGATGCTTTTGTTAAACTTTGCAATAAAAAAATAAGTATAAACAAATTGAAATTTAAAATTGGGCCTTGACAAATCTCTTTCAAATTTAATAATCTTTTATTTAAAACAAAGTTCAGTAAAATCGGTTAAAAATGAAGGCTCAAGACGTCTAGGTTTAGATATCGTTACTTTCTTGAATTATGAATCTCGGTCTATATAGTAGATTTTTAGGTTGATAATTATTGAAATGACTTGCTGATGATTTGACAATTGTTTCGTAAAAATTCTGAGAAACATCAAAATAATATTTATAAAATATTCCAATGGATGTTTCATGGATTTCAGTAACAATGTTAGGACTTACTTAAGGCGTTACAGGTTAGGAATTAAGAAGTTCGTAGGACGTTTATATAAGAAAATGTTTGTTCAAAATTTTACTTATGGCGGATTTCACGTCAAATGTCCAACCAAAATAAAAATGTTGATTAATTAATCCCCAATTATTTTATGAGTTGTCCTATACCTTAGTAATTTATTTGACGAATATTTTTGAATTTTATCAAAAATTATCAGAAGAAGAGGGGGTAAAAGTTTTGAGTGTTGATGCGACACGCACTACTTCATTTATTTATTGTATTTAAATGAAAAAATGAAAAATACTTTTCGAAAATGATTTCTTTAGATCTTTTCATCAGCTTTCGATTGCCGTAGTCCATTTTAAAAAAATTTTTGATTTTGACAAAATTTTTGAAAATTAAAGATAAAATTCAAATTTTTTTATCTTGAGGCTCGTTTTTTTAATTTATTTTTTATTGGAAAGCTGAGGTTTTTTTCCAAAAAATACTTAATTTTCAGAAAACCGTTTTTTTGTTTTCGAGAAATTAAATATTGAATATAGCGTGTCACGTTAGCTAGCGGACACTACGCGCTGCGCCGCGTGGTCTTAATCTGCAATTTTCTGTTTAAAGAAGTGTACAGCCCATAGATTTTGTCGAGATTTTGCCAATTTTTTAAAAATAGTCAAAAATAAATTTTTAAGAAACTTAAGGAAGCACTTTTTGAATTTCGGCTTCCGTTGAAGGGTGGGTAGTGTAGTGTTTGAGATAACAAAGGAATTAAAGGGTGGGTAGTGTAGGGTAATGTCACATTGAGTGGACCGCCACTTTGAGTGGACCACCTGAGTTTTTAAGTTATCTGACAGCGGAAACGTGAAATAAATAAAACGAATAGCAGCACCGCACCTAGAAACAGTAAGAATTTATGTTCCGCGATAATCATACACGTTATTGTTTGATGTAACGCATTTTTAAGAACACAAACCAAAAAAGAAGTTGCTCTTACAATGAGTAAAGTGATTCGGAAGTGTAAAAGTAGTGTAAAATTTAAGTTTTAAAAGGTAACTTATTTTTTCCGACTACTTTGGACATTGAAATTGATTGTCTTAGTTTAATTAAGTGATAATTTTGACTCAAAAAAATTTTTTGGTGTCTGCCATAAAAAGTTGCATGTCACCATGAGTGGACCACTGTTTATAACCATGACTGGACTCCCTGTTTTTTATATTTTTAATGTCAGTTTACCATTTTTATGGAAATAAATTGGTTTGAAACTGTTTTATATTCTTTATTAATTTTTTTGTGATTTTGATGTGATATGTGCCAAAATTATTGAAAATGGTTTCACTTGTAAACATTGCGATACAAACATGGTCTGAAGCTACATAAGCATAAATTTTGTTTCAATATATCAGAAATATTAAATACATTAAAGAATTTAGAATAACTTTTACAATTTTTTAAGAGTGGTCCACTCAAGGTTACACTTTTTTTATTCCTTAAAAATGAGCTATTTTTTTAAAGTCAATTGTTTTTCCCAAATAAAAAAAAATCAATGCTATTATGGTATAAACACTTATCTAGGGATCTAAACTAAAGCTTGGAATAGAAACCTCCGATTAATTTGCTGTCATAAAGAATTTTTTAGAAAAAAAGCTTAGGCGGTCCACTCAAGGTGACATTACCCTAGTGTTTGAGATAACAAAGGAAAGAGTGGTGGTGAAAGTAAAAAGAGTGTATGTGTACAAGTGGGTAAGTGTGAGTGATAAAAAAGGTAAAAAAGAGTAGTGGATATTGTGAGGTTAGGTTGCTTGAAATGAGAAAAAGGAGAGAGAGACAGAGACAGTGGGAAATATAGAGTGATAAGGTAGATTTCTGGAATGGCTGAATTTGATTCAAGTAGTGTGCGAGAGAGTGAGAAAAAGGCGCGAATTTTCAAAAGAGGAATACGGAAGAATGGAAAGGTGATGACGTGTGAAGACTGCATGGACTTGATGGAGCTAGTGGAAATGTTGAATGAGGCAATGAAAGAGCGTTTTGTAAAAGTAGGGAAGAATTTTGTGACGGTGTGTGAAGCAGGTGATGAGAGGGGTAAATATATGGATGAATTGAGTGATGAGATGGAAAGAATGCAGGAAAAGTGGAAAAGGTGCGCGAGTGAGTTGGAAGGTATGAGAGAAAGAGTGGATGAATTGGAAAAATTTATGTTAGATAAGAAGACAGAGGATAGAAAAATTAAGGTTATTTTTAAAAAAGGGGTAAAAATGAGTAGTGAGGGCAGTGAAAGTGAATGTTATAAACGAAAGGTGAATGAGTTGGAAAGAAGAGTGTAATGGATGGAAAAGGATAAAAGAAAAAGGAATATAGTGATTAGGGGTATGAATGCAGGATTAAGTGAAGGAAGGTGAAAGCGATGAGTATGGATGAGAATGGAATTCCGAGGATGTGGTTAGTGGAAGTAGGAAGTGAGGAGGAAAAAGAGGAGGTTATGAGGTTGAACGGATGTGTTGAGAGAATAGATGAAGACAGAACGTGGAGGGAGAGGAGAATAAGATGGTTTCTGGGAGAGAAGGCATGGATCGAAAGAAGGAATGGAAGTTAAGTAAGAATGGGTAGGGAATGTGTGTGGGTGGATGGGGTAAAATGGTGGGTGAAGGAATGTAATGGCCGAGTGTTTGAGGTTGGAATGAATGATCGGGTGAATGGAGAGAAATGAAGAAGGATAGTTTGATTGTATGTTTGTTGGGATTATGGTAGTGAAAGGTTAGGACGAAATAGTGAGAAGGAAAGTTTGGAGAAGAAAGTTTGAGGGTAAGGATTTAAGTAATTAAAAGGGGTGGGACGTTAATGGGGATTCAGTCAGTATGGATAAAGGGAACTGGAAACGGAAGCCCTGGCACTGGCGAATTTTGTATTTATAGAATAAGTTTGACTTGTGTATGTAATTGGGAGTCTCGAACTCTGCCTATTGTAGGGAGAGAAAATAAACACATACACTTTTTTGAATTTCAAATTTTTATTATTATTTTAAATTATTTTTCTATTTTTAGGACCTTAATTTTTATATATAAACTTTTTAAGAATTATTATTTTAATGCAAATTACAAATAAATGATGACATCAATAGCTTTTCTTCTCATATATTTGTCAAAAATTTGTTTCTACTCTTGAGTATTATATGAAAGATAAAAACGATATTTCGACAGTAAAAATTTCTTTTTTATAATTTTAAATAACTTTTAATTTAATTCAAATTAAAAATTAAATTAAATCTTTCATATGTTAATACTCAAGATTTAAACAATGTCGAGTAGAAACAAATTTTTTCCAAATATATGAGAAGAAAAGCTATTGATGTCATCATTTATTTGTCATTTGCATTAAAGTAATAATAATAAAAATTTGAAATTCTAAAAAGTGCTTCCTTAAGTTTCTTAAAAATTAAGTTTTGAGTGTTTTAAAAAAAATTGCAAAATCTCGACAAAATCTATGGGCTATACACTTCTTTAAACAGGAAAAAGCAGATTCAGACCACGCGGCGCAGCGAGTAGTGTCCGCTCGCTAACGTGACGCGCTATATTCAATATTTAATTTCTCTAAAACAAAAAAAACGGGTTGCTGAAAATTAAGTATTTTTGGGAGAAAACCTGAGCTTTCCAATAAAAATAAAATTAAAAAAACGAGCCCGAAGATGAAAAAATTTAAATTTTATCTTTAATTTTCAAATTTTTTTTAAAATGGACTACGGCAATCGAAAGCTAATAAAAAAATCTAAAGAAACCATTTTTGAAAACTTTTTTTCATTGTTTCATTTAAATACAATAAATAAATGAAGTAGTGCGTGTCGCATAAAAACTCAAAACTTTTACCCCCTCTCCTGATAATTTTTGATAAAATTCAAAAATATTCGGCAAATAAATTACTAAGGTATAGGACAACTTATAAAAAAAATTGGGGATTAATTAATCAACATTTTTATTTTGGTTGGACATTTGACGTGAAATTCGCCTTATACAGGATGATGTATAATCTATATTTCATATTAAGAAAGTAAGTTAGATTAAGTGACAGGTGCACAGGGGCATCTCTATGCGCTAGAGTTGATACTCACGTCCTGGATAAGTCTGTGGAATGCCGTTGGTGTAGACTCCGGCATCCGATCCAGCAGGTTGTCCATTGGGTGTTTGCGCAGCCATATTGAAATTTGGCATTGTAGGAGATGGCAATGAAGGTATAGCTCCATTCACCGGCTGTCCTGTACCAGTACCTACGACCAAACCTGATCAGTAAACACCGATTACACACATATTCTTAAACACTGATGTTACACTAATGTAGGGAAAACAATTATACATAAATTCTTGTATAGAATATTCTTAAAATTAAATTTTATTTTATTCTGTGTTGAGTTCATGCAATCAAGAAAAAGTTGAAATAACTATACACTTAAAGTCGATGCCTCTTGTCTGGATAACTCGACTTATTCTCCGTATGGAAATCTGCCCAAGTTAGCCCAGTCAACAAGTGTGGGGCAAGCTTGGCTTCGCCTAAGCTTAGCAGTTTACTAACTTTAATTTGCAGTACACTAACAGATCTTTACTTTTTCCGAAATTTAAAAATTTATCTAGCTAAATTTATTTATACAATTGTTAAATTATCAAGGAATAACGGTTTGTTTTATACATTTGGTAATTGTTCAAACTAATTGTTTCAAACTTCCTTGTGGTGAAAGCTTTGGAGTTGTTTAATTTACAAAATTTTTAAAAATCCATTAAACAAATTTTCTTCTATATAGGACTGTGTTATATAAGACTCTGAACAACTGTCCGGATGTATGTATGTGTGTGGATCCCGTTTTTTGTGAACACGATAAATGGAAAAGGTTTTAACGAATTTGGCTAAAATGTACCAGGTATATTTATCATAAAAATATCTCGAAATAGATTGATAGACCTTGAAAAATCCTCAGAAAAAAATTTTTTTGGTTTTTTTTTTTTTAAATTTTTTAGTTGGTTATTGAAGTTAATCCTTAATAGAAAAACAGCTATTTTTTGTCTGGAGTTTGAAAGTGACGGTCATGATTGGTTGTAAAAATGACATGATGACGGTCGCAAGTGGTTGAAATACGATGATGACGGTCGCGATTGGTTAAAATACGATGATGACGGTCGCTAATGGCTAAAATAATTTAAAATTGTTGTGCGCGCAGTTTTGAAGTTCTAATTTATTCCACGTAGTTTTTATTTAAAAAAAATTTTTTTAAACAAAAAGAATATTTAGGTATAAAATTAAACTTTGAAAGTGAATAAACAGGTGCTATAATAATTGGATTACAGTTTCAGCATCTGTAACTTTTAGAATTAAATTTTAATAGTAAATATTATTTTTTTAAAACAAAAACATTAATTTTTTTTAAAGTAAACTGGATGCTTATTTTAGCTTTATCCAAAGAACATTAAAACATGTAAAGTATTTCCGTAATTATACTAATTTTACTAATAAATATAATAGTAATAAATAATTTATCCCAAAATAATTCAATTCCGACCAACACATCTTTGATGTTATAATATAATACAAGTAAAAATATAATAAAATTTATAATAAACTGATGGAAAATATATGTAGCCTTATATAATATATATTAATATTATTTCAATATTAAATATAAGAAAAACTAATAAAAATATAATATACACTACCGGTCAAAATTTAGAGACCAAACCCATTTTCAGGTGAATGAAGAACATTTTAAAACGTATTATGTATAAAAATTAAAATTTTTTTCTTTTTATGTTTTAAAAGATGATAAAATTTTTGATAGAACAAGATCCTTCAGAAGTAATTTTGACAATATTTTATTTAGATATTTTTAAAAAATCGTAATTTTCAATGTTTTGCAAAAATTTTAATAACTTCTAAAATAATGAAAGGTTTTTAATGAGTTTAGGCCTATTTTAAAGGTGATTTTCTCCAGACTGAGAATTATTTATAGGCATTAACGTATAATTTTTTTCTCAGAAAATGCAAGTTGTCAAACTTGGATTAAAAAAATGTAATAACTTTTAAATAATCTTATTAACAGAAAAATAATTTTTAAAATATAAACATATGTTTTTATTAAATTAAGGTTTAAATTAAGGTCTTATTTCGTCCCAAATGACTAGGAGTGGGCGCGCAACGCGCGCCCTTTTGCTTCTAGTATATAATAAAATCTTATTCTTTGCATCAAGACGAATCGATTGGTCTATACATTGGTATAAATTGTATGAAAATTTATAGAGTTAATCACAATTAAAGCTGAAAAATCCGCATTTTTATCAAAAAATGAGTTCTTTCCGCAAAATTATGTTGCTGTATAAGAAAATCTTACTATGACGAAGCATATGACGTATCCAGAAGATTAACAGGGCTACAGGCGCGTATCCGAGAGAAACTCATAGAATTTTTCGACAAAGAAATCAAAGTAAAAACTCAGGGATGTCGTCAATGTCTTGCAAGAAAATGACTGATGCTTCGGAATTCTTGTCGAATATATTCGTTTTATAAAATTATTGTTAACGATTCCAGGGTCATCAAGCACAAACGAACGGAGTTTTTTATCTCTCCGAAGATAAAAAAATTAGTTATAAATCATTTGTATTAAATTATCAAAGTATGTTTTTAAAAACCTAAATTTGAATAAATGTTAATATATTCAAAAGAAAATTATAACAATTTTGTTATTTTGTTAACACCAATATCAGGATAGAAGACTTTCGTGAAAAATTATAAGGGGGATGAATAGAAAGGATGGAAAGGAGTAACTTAATTTAGAACTCAAAACTCCAACTTGGGCCTGTTCCGCCGCCCCTGACTGGACTCCACTGTATCCCAATATTTTACGGTAAGTAGAAAACATTCATTTCTTATCAATAATTTATTACTATAGATTATTTTATTAAATTAAGCGTTTAAGTTTAAAAAAAATTTTGTTCTTACTACTGCGAAATGAAAAAAAATGTGGCGCGTCGCCCCGACTATAGTACAGGTCTGAAATTGACACGAACCCTCCCTCGAGCAAATTGGTTATCCTAAAAACTCACTATCGTTCGTATTTTAAATTGGTCGTTTTTCGTATTATTCGAGTTGGATATTTAGAGTTGTTTCGCATCGAGAGAGTGAGATGTTATCCCTCGATTCGTGTTGGTATTGAGAGGAACCAGCATTAGATATTGAACAGTCCAATTCGATAATTTCTTTGTCGGTTTTAGGAGTTTTCTTTTTATTCCAAAGAAACGGAAAGTATCTGGTGCTACAATAACGAACCTGTGTATCGTTAGAGGTTTCTGGGACAGTTCCCTTTGGTATTTGGTACGGCTTGTGAGGGTTTACCCGTGAGCAGTAGCGACCAGTTGGAGGCTGGCGATCTGGATTTTTCGGCTGATTGGCAGGATCTTTGCTCTACCAGGAGGGTTGGAGCGATAACCAGCGATCGGTTTGATTCTTAGATGGAAAAACGTTTTATTCGACGTCAACGATCGAAGGGAAAAGGACGCACAGCAGGTCTCCAAAGCGCTTTTTGAAGGCACTCTAAAAGCAATAGACGACGAGGGTTTTGTTGATGATTCGGGTTGTAACGATGAATCTCGTTACTTAAAGTAATAATTAGTTTTGTATTCAGTTTATTAGTTGTTGGTTAGAATTGGTTGTCAGCGTCAAATATATTCTTCACGATTTTGCATTGCACTTGTCGTCGCGCATGGTTAGACGAAAAGTCCCGAATATCAGCGTTTCCCCCCGATTCTTTTTCAACATGTATTAGGCCCATTGGAGTGACAAAGACAGTTGTTAGGATTTTCACCATTGGAGCGAGAGAGACGAGAGATCGCGAAGTAGCCGGCCGGCGACCGTTTTCCCAATTTTACATAGAGTCAGTTCCTTTACGAAAGACTTAGGAAGTGAACCTATTTACCAGCGTTAAGAATATTACGATTAAGAGAACTGTATTCAGTAATTAATTGTTACCAATTATAAGTTACAAAGTGATTAATAAACGAGTTAAGTGAAATTGAATATTTGGTTTATTTCGAGTTTTACCTAGCGTGGAGTTCAGGACGAGTCGAGCAGAGTACGAGAGGAAACAGCGTCGTTGGTTAGTTCTCAGCGTGGGTAAGTCGACTTTCATTTCCGAGGATTGATAATCTCAACGTCGAGCATCGGTTGTTTGTCTCAATTGTACTTCCCATGAGTGTTAAGAGGAGTGGTAAAGTTTTCGCGAATTAGTAACCGGTTGATGCAAGTTATTCATGTTAACAAAAGTCGCGTTACGGGGTCTAATATTCAGTAAGGTGCAAGGAAGGAAGACCGTCGATGACCGAGAGCATCATTTTTACCGTGAGTAAATTGTCGAAAGTTTAGGAAAAAAAATTGTTGCACCAAGAGACCAAATTTCGTGCAAAATACAAAGCTCTAGAACGTCAACACCGAATCGAAATTAATCGACTTTTGATACGGGAGAAAGAGTTGCCGAAGGTCACAGTCAAGGACACACAGACGGAAATTGGTGATTATTCTCAACCCATCGGTAGGACCGCGGAGACCGAAGTTCCTTAAAAAGTGGATTTGGTCGTCGACGAAGAGGTGTTGGAGAAAAATCCTCTAATTACCACTCATCACGTCGAAGAGTTATTACCTCCAACGCCCAAGAACCGATTTGAGCCTGTACAAGTCTCCCCGGTAAGAAATAGGTAGTGACAAATCCTAGACACGTCTCCTCGGGACATCTCCCCCAGTAAAAAATATTTTTTTATCCCACATGCACAAAAATGGCGCTTTTAGATAGCTGACGACAGGGAGTAAAGTCACTCATTTGTTGGACCATATGAAAATGGCTTCCATTTTCTCCCATGTGCAAACATAACCGCTGATCCCATGCGTTATTTTTGCCCAAGAGAGAAAACGGCCGCCATTTTTATATAAGTCTGTTACGTCAAAACTGAAACCTTTTTAAATATACCTAACATTCCTCGTTTTAAATTAGTTTCAGAAATTGAATCTAATTTGGGATGAGGATAAGTCAATGAGCCTACTAAATGTTGTGAGAGAATATTTATTAAAAACCAACCAAGAAAGAAAAGAATTGACAATAGTACAAAAATACAATGAGTATAAGAATCTTACTTTTGGAATAACGATTATTGCAGGTGTTGAAAAACTGGTGATTGTTATCTCGATTTCCGATCTGAAGTGATTATGAGAAGTAGACACAAAGGAGCCTGTGGTTGGTGTCCTCAGTGG